GCAAACAACTTTCATCGCTTCGGTTGTTGTTGTTGTTGTTGTTGCTGCTGCTGTTGTTGACGTCGTTGGTATTTTCATTTTTTATTTTCTCTCCGTCTCTGACCGCACGCAACCGTTGCGGTTTTCCAAAAGCGTGCGATGATGATGATGTTTTTTTTTTCTCGCCCAGTTTCTCTCTCTCTCTCTCTCTCTCTCTCTTACTCATTCTATAATTTTCGGGGACGCAAAACTTATTATCACGCACGCGAAACTCATCATAATTCACTTTAAGTTAATACTTTAACGACCTCGACCTAATTAAAAATAATAATAATAATAAATCAAGATTTTATTTCTACTCGTTCCCGTTCGCCATTAAAAAAGATTCATAGCCTTTTTTTTTGATCCTTTCGAATATATATACAAAAAAAAAAAAAAATTAAACTTTATTTTATAAACAACAACAACAACAACAACAACGACAACCGTAAACAATAACAAACAAACAAACAAACAAAATTTAAACGATATTTCCGTCCGTTTACTAGTCGTCGTCGTCGTCGTCGTAATAAAAAAAAAATTCGCACGAAAAAAAAAAAAATTTAAAACGAAAACGTTTATCATCTTTGTTATCATCATCATCATCATCATCATTATTATTGAGATGAAGGTCAAATGAAACAAGGGGTCAATGAACTTGGAACATCGCGCTCTCGATTTCCTTACAACGAATTATTCATCAATGGTGATGCCAACAACAACAACAACACGCGAACATTAAATCATCTCTCTCTCTCTCTCTTTTTTTAATTAGCAATTATTTTACCGTTCATCTTCCGTCATTGTCGTCAAAATATTGTCGCAACTTTGTAAAAAAAAAAAAATTCTTTTTTTCTAGTGACACGACCGACCGACAGATCCGATTCCCTTTCGTAAAAAAAAAATTAGTTTAGTTATATTAATGAACTCGAATTAAAGAAGAAGGTAAACTTTTCCAACCGCGAATTTTCCGCGAAATGAATAAAACGGGGGGAGGGGTGGAAAAAGAGGGGGTGGGGAAAAATTAAATTGTTAAAAAAACCGAAAGAATAAAAAAAAAAAAACTTTTCCAGTTTCTTTTTTTCCAGTAATTAAATAGTAAATGAAAAAAAAAAAAAAACTGTTTAAAACAGAAAGTCGGAATATTAAAAAAAATTTTCCCTTTATTATTATTATTATTACAACTACTGGAATCGATGAAACGTAAAAAAGGACAGGCAACAAGGCGAATAACAGCAAAGCTTGCGGTTTATGGCAGGCATAGAGTAAGAAAAATTATCATCATCATCGTGATGCTATTATCATTATTTTTTCCTAAGATAAAAAAAAAAGAAAAGTAAAATCACAAATGAATCCATTTAGAGTATAAAAGTTAAAAAAAGAAAAGGGGAGGGGAGAAAAAAAAAGGATTTTTTAAATGGTATCATATAAAAAAGAAAAGCGAGGAGAAGTGGGGGGGGGGGGGCAAAACGACAAATCTCCTAATAAAAAAAAAAAAAAAAAAATAAAAAAAATTTTTAACGAACATTTTACTTGGCAAAAACTTAATTGCTTAAAATTTTAATCAATAAAAAAAAAAAAAATTGTAATCCTTAAACTTTCCATTTTTTTTTCCGAGCTGGATAGAGGAGGAGGAGGGGGAGGAGAGGGGGAGGGAAAAGGAAAAAAAGGAAAACATTTTCACTTTTTAACGGATTTAAAACCGCCCGCCCTCCGTTCCTACCCTTCCCCTCTCACTTAAAGACCACGCGCAACCAACCACGCCTGAACACGAATTTCTTTTTCCTTTTCTTTTCTTTTCTTCTGCTTCCAGATGAGGGCAACGAAACGTTTAAACTTATTAGATTTTGAAATTTCTATTGACCCGTTTTTTTTTTTTTTTTTAACCGTTAAAAAAAAAATCATTCGAAGTAATAACCATCGAGGTAGTAACCATATATATTTAACGACGCCATTTTTATTTTTCGTAAAAAAAAAAATTCAAAAAATTTTTCCCGCGCTTATAAATGCCCCTCCTCCTCCTCCTACCCTCTCCCAATTTTTTTTTCTTCGCATCTTACGCTAACGTCGTGTTTTTAAAAATAAAAATAACGACCTAATAATAATAATAATAATCGAAACGATTCCATCCTATTAAAAATTTTGACTTATTATAAAGTTCGATTCGAATAGGGGAGAAGAAAGAGGGAGGTAGGGTTGGGGAGGGAGAGAGGGGGAGAAAACTCGCGGAAAATCAACGCCCCGTAATTAATTTCACAAGAAAATCATTAATTATAATAATAATTATTATTATTATTAAAAAAAAAAAAAACTTTCTTTTTCTTTTCCCCCTTTCGATTCCCCCCATTCCTCATTCCTCATCCCACCCCCCACAAAAATTTATAAAAAAAAAATTATAAATGGATTTCTTTTCGTAAAGTTTTCTTTTTTCTTTTCTTTTCTTTTCTTTTCTTTTCTTTTCCCTCCCCCTCTCCCTCTCTTCCTGCCCTTTATCGATCGCAAACGAAAATGAAATGGAAAAAAAAAAAATTTTTTTTTTTATTCCCTCTTTCTCTCTCATTCATTATTATTATTATTATTATTATTATCATCATCATAATCATAATCATTATTATTAATTTATTTTTTCGAATTCGTTTTCGGACTTTGTTGTTAATATTTTTTAATTTCGAAGGAACGAATGCCTGAATGTTATTGTTGTTGTTGTTGTTGTTGTTTGCTATTATTATTATTATTATTATTATTACCGTCGTTATTTTTAGGGAGTTGAAGTTTTTGATCGTTAAAACCCGCCAATATAAATTCATGTACCAACCATTGTTTTCTCCTACGTTCTTTTCTTTCTTTTTTTTTTAATCAACTGTCAATAACCTTTTATTATTACTATTATCATTATTATTATTATTACGTTAAAAAGAAAAGAAAAGTAAAAAGTAAGTTTGCACAGTTTCAATTTTTTTTTTTTTTGTTCGCTCGTTGAAACAAATTATTCGAAATGAGGGGAAAAGAGAGAGAGAGAGAGAGAGAGAGAGAGAGAGAGAGAGAGAGAGAGAGAGAGAGAGAGAGAGAGAGAGATACGCGAAAAATAAGAGAAATAATAATAATAATAATATTGGGTAAAATTAATTAACGATAGATAAGTAACCCGAGGTACGCACACACACACACTCTTCGATATCGATAAAACTCTCGAGAAAAAAAAGGAAAATTATAATAATAATGACGTCACAAACGTTTTATCGATTCTATGACGCAACGGATAAAAAAATGGCTGCCGATAACCGGATTTATTTCAATCGTCGTCTTGTTGCCCTACAACGGATACAGAAAACCAATAAAACGCTCGGGGAAATTATTAATAACATTAAAAAAAAAAAAGCCTCCCCCAGCGACGACGGGAGCTGGGGGGGGGGTGAGGGAAATTTAATATTTATTAATAATCAATGTTTGTTTTTGTTTAATTTGATAAATACTTTTTTTTTTGGTAAGATCATCAAATTTCGATTCGTCTGAGACGCCATTTTTTTTATTTAAACGGATTTTAAAAACTTACTGTGGAATCAAAGTCGTTTGTTTGCCCGTTTGTTTGTTTGTTTGTTTGTTTTTCTTTCGTCTTAAACGAGATGATGACAGTCGAATCATTGTTATTTTGCGTTTCGAAAAAGAGAAAAACTATTACGATTCAATCGATCGCGATTGGTAAAACATGAAATAGTCAATCAATCGATAAATCGATCGATGGATCGATGTATCGATCACTCAAAATGGCGTTATCAATAAACGCCGACTTGAGAGATTTT